TCGGAATTTTGTGAATGTGCAAAACAAAAATATAAACGTATACCAGGACCACGATGTGTGGCGCGTAAGCTGATCTTATTGTTGTTTAGTGTATGTCTGTGGAAATAGAATATTTTTTTTAAATAATGATTATTTAATTATATATTCATTTTAGCTCATTCGAATCTTTTAGCATCAAATTATACATGTAAGAGATTTATATTGAATGCAAGAAAAATAAAAGAAAATTGTTTTTTTTTACTAGTGAATCCTGTTCGTCGTACAACAATGGGTGCTTGTATGCGACGAACACCATGCGAAAATCAAGCTACATGTGTCGATCGACTGGATGGGAATTATAAATGTTTATGTGCTTTTGGTTGGCAAGGACGTCATTGTAATGAAAGTAAGAGTTTCAATAATACACTAATTTTTGTATAGAATCATTCGAATTAGAAAAAGTTTAATTCAGTAAGATCTATCGATTAAATTCAAATAAGTTTATCATTGAAAATATAAAGATAGAAATAAATGTTATTTTGTTAAGCATTATGTTTCGAAGTGATTTACTAAAGTTTATAGCATTAAATTGAAAAAAGTTACTGTTGAGTCTAGAATTTTTCAAAAGTCATTGAGCTACTTACTACGAAGTTGATAAAATTGAGTAGATTCACATAAAGTATTACTTTTTAGCCATACAGTGAAAATTTTTTTTCTTAAATTCTTCTGTAATTGTTTTGAAGAAACAATTAGAATGACAAAATAAACTCAAAATTTTGTAATGCATTGATCTAACTATTGAATAAACTAATATTTCAAATGTTTTGCATGTATGATTTTTCAAATATTTCAATGCGAGACTAGAAATTAGTTTGTACATTGTACAAAATGGCACATTGATGTGATCACTTTTCTCTTTTGCAAACTTCTTGCGATTTTCGTCCGGTGATATGGTTTAAGAACAAGCTGATGCTAGCTTGAATGGAGTTAAAAACAATATTTCCGTCTATCGTTACCTTCCTCCGTTGGAGTGCTCGAATCTTATCAACATCTTAACGAGTGTGCCGAAAGTTTTAAGATAAAATATTTATTTAGTTTTGACTTCCTTGGAAGTGTTTCTAAGCAGTCAAAAGCTTTAAGTTAGGATCAGGATATTGTGTACTATTTGAATATGGTCTTAGAAATTTTATTTCAATTTTTGTTCATGACTAGTGAAGGAATTTTTTAAAGTCTCAAAAAAAGATATTGTCTAGTGAAACAAAAAGCTGTTGCTAACCCCTATGAGTTTCTTTTCAAAAGTGCCAATAATTATTGGAATCGATAATTTTGTCGAGCAGACACTTCTATATAACATGTTATATTCAACTAAGCTATGGTTTTTACCTAAATGAAATGATAAACACTTTATGAAGAGCTCATATTCGTATAAAACGCCTTGTAGTCAAACAATCGATTTTTCAAAAAAAATGAAGATTTAAGAGAAACAAAAATTGAAATGATCTTTAGCAAAAATTTCAATAGTATATTGTGTAGGATAGTTTATCATCTAAACGCCGATATATTAATAAAGATATCAATTTTTATCTGATCATCTTATTGATCGCAAGAAAATTTATAAGTCTACATTCAGAAAGAGTGAAAAATACACAAACATTTTATCTCCAAACTTTCGGCTCATCCATTAGATCTGGTTTTCCCAGTATACGATAGTCGGAGAAGTCTGTTAAGTATTCTTTTTATTAAGGAGAATATTTCATTTTTATTTTTCCATTTATTTAAGAATTTAACGTAACAATTCCTCATTTTAACCGTCAATCCTATTTTGAACTTAAAACTCAATTATCAACAAAACATAGTGATAATCAATTATTACGTATTGATCTTATATTTGCATCTGAACATCATAATGGTTTACTTCTTTATGCTGATGATAAATTAACAGAATTCTATTTTATTATTTCGATACGAAATAAAATTCTTGATATAACGTAAGATATTTATAATAAATTATTTTTTCAAGTACAAAAAATGTTTGTTTTGTTTTTCTGAAGTGTTCGTCTCGATCATTTTATTTCAACAATTCAATTACCCGAAGTGATTGAACTTGATACATATGCTCGCTTACAAGTACATATCTTACATAATGAATTACGTGCAAGATTAAATGATGGAAATATCTCATCAAGTATACCACATAACTGAATTAAAATTTTTATTTTATTTTTCTTTTTCTGTAAAAGGATTATTACCATTTGGTAGTTCGTTTAAAAGTACATTATATTTAGGAGGTTTACCAGATTCTTTAAATTCGTAGGAAATTCTTATTGATATTTTTTAATTTTTAAATTAATTTGTTTATTTAATTTAGTCTTTATCAACAATTTCATCTTGATGAAGGTTTTCAAGGATGTATACATGAATTATCAATAAATGAACGACGATTAACATTTAATAATTCTGAACATCATATTATTCTTAGTGCACAAAATATTGGTTGGACTATATTTTTTCTTTTGTTCTTTTTTTAATAATTAATTAGAAATATTTGTTTTTTTTTGTCTTTATCTATTAGATGAATGTATTGCAAATCCATGTCGATCAGGTATAGCATCATGTCGAAATGGAACTCGTTGTATACCAATAAGAAATAATGATGCAAATAGTTATAAATGTATATGTGATGATCATATGTCATCATTAAATACTGATTGTTTAACATCATCAATTGATCGATGTTCACTAAAACCCTGTGATTATGATCAACAATGTATAAATGTATATCCAAATAATTATACATGTATTTGTAAAAATTGTGCATTAGGTACAGAGAAAATTTCTTTCGTATAAATAAAAATAAAATATTTTATCTCAATAGATAATCAATATATAGCTGCATTTGATCCAAATAGTTATATAAAAAGACCTCCTCTTGAACTATTAGAACATACAGGAAAATTTTCAATTGAAATATGGTTTCTTAGTGAAAGTTCATCAGGTAGAAAATTTTTATTTCGAATATATATATAATAAGAATTTGTATTTATCGTTTATTTAGGTTTAATAATTTATAGTGATCATGTGAATTCTAAAAAAGGATATTTTACTGTTTTTATACAAAGACGAATGGTTATATGTAATATTATACTTGGAAGCAAGACTATTTCACTTAGGTAATTTGGAAATGAAAAATTATTATTTGCAAAGAACTTTTAATAAACATATACATTTTTTCTATGTTTTCAAATCGAATTTTCTAATTAGATATGTATGGAAAGCATCAAATCTAATAAAATCTTTTGATATCTTTGAGTGCATTCTAAATAAGATAAAATATCCATTTCCTAGATGAAATAACGTATTCCAACTTGGGACTAATCATTTATTTTCTTAAATCTCTAAACGAAACTGATAGATGAGGATGTTTCTTGGTCAAAGTTTGCTTGCGGAATTTTTTTAGTCTCTTTTGAAATTCTCGAAATTTATGTCAAGAAAGACAATAACACTATTATGTTTCTTTTATTAATAGCTGAAGTTCCCATGAACCAAGACATTTTCAATACTATTAAAAAGCGGGTCTAATATAATTAGAACTGCAGTTTTTTTTACTCAAGCTTCTGAGTCTAGGTAAATGAGCTGCTGATATGCCTGAAAATTCCATTCTCTAGTGTCACTCTTGAAGATATTTTTTTCATACAACCAAAAAGAAAAACTATCAAAACTAGAAAATATAGATTAGATATACATAAGATAGAATACTTATCAGTTTGAACTATAATTAGTCCATAATTATTTGGATTTTATTTTAGTTCTCGATATCCAATCGAATTAAATATATGGCATCGATGTTCAATCGAAATTTATGGTCAAAAATTCACTTTAATAGTTGATCAAGAATCACCTGTAGTTACATATGAATTATTTTCTACAAATATTCTGTGGCCTCGTTCATTTACATTTATTGGTAATTTACCAATTCAATATCGTTCATTTGATACATTATCAAATTTTATCATATTCGAAGGATTTCGTGGTGCAATACAAAAAGTAAACGAAAAAAAAAAAAGTTTTTTTTTTCTTCTTTACATTACTTTATTTAGATTATTCTTAATAATCATCCATTAAATGACATACGCCAAGATGCTATAGAATTATTTAACATAAGTGAATATCGTGGTTATCCATGTCATCCAAATCCATGTACATTGAATAAAATTTGTCAACAAACAGAATTAAATAATTATACATGTCATACACGATATAAACAATCTAATATGAAAGATATATCGATTGAATTAGATGGAAGACAAAATCTTATGTATTCATATGTACCATTGAATTTAAATCGAAATTATTTTAAATTATTATTTCGAACAAAAACTTCTTATGGTTTAATTTTTTATATTGGTGATACAACAATAAATGTTTTTTCTCAATATATATCATTAACAATTGTTAATGGTTTTATACAATTTACAGTTAAAACAGAGGAAAATTCAACTGAAGTATTTTTAAGATCAAAAATACGTATTGATGATGGTCAATGGCATCGAATTGAAATCGAAAGGTTTAGTTGAATTTTATTAAAATTAATAGGAAAATAAAATTTATTTTCTTCTAGATTTCGTCGTCGTATAACAATGAAACTTGATGATAGTTATCCTCGTCGTACTGTATCATTAAGTAAACTAACAACATTTCGTCCAAATCCAACATATATTTATATTGGTGGTTATCATCGTTTATGTGGTCATGATGAACAACATTGTCGAGCATATCGTGGGTGTTTAAAAAACTTTTTTATGGACAAATATTTTATTGATTTATTTAATGATGAAATAAATCAATATTATCCATTAAAACAATGTTAAACTTTGACTAGATAAAAAGAAACATTTGACAATATTTTTTTCCTTTTTTTTGTTCATCTGTTTGTTTGTTTTCTTTTTTTATTATAAAAATTTCAATTTTAACTGGTAGAAAGAAAAAAAAAACGAAAGAAAATGAATTATTATTGATATATATTAACGATTAACTGAAAGAACAAGAATATCTGTAAGTGTTCGACAACGACCACTACCAAGCATTACAATATGAGGCAATTTTTCAGTCAAAGATAAGAGAAAAGGAGAGTCATTCAAATCACATCGTTCGATATTAAGTTGAAGATTAAAAGATGATGCTGAACTAATCGATTGAATATCTATAACAGTATCTGTTCTTGGTTTTATTGTTGCGTTATGTACAACAATTTTTGCTACAGCTGATGATAAAACAGTTATTTGATAAGATGATACATGTCGAAATGTAAATCTATAATTATTAAAATTATCCATTGATGTTAATTCAACTTCTTTAAATGCTATTGTACGATTAAATGTATCATCAAATGAACAATTGGTTGGTGTTGAACATGATAGATTATTTAATAAATAACCAGTTTTACTTGAAATTTCATCAAGTGTTGGTGACAAAACAATATTATCAAATGATTCAACTTTAATCGATGCTGCTTGTGAATAAATTGGAATAATCATTGGAAAATCTTTTGGGTTACTTAATTTATAAATTGATTGTGAAATATGTCGAACTCGAATTAGTTTTGGATGAGTATTTGTATATGGTTGTCTTGTACAAGCTATAATAAATACAATAAGAAAACTAATTATCAAAATAATTAATGTTCGACTATAATTCATTATTCGTTGAATATTTGGAATAAAAACAAGAAAAAATATAGTAGCTGGTAATACAATTATTATACATATAATGATATCTTGTGGTATTGGAATTTTTTCAACACTGCGAGCGAATATTGGAATAGCTAGACGAGCGATTCGACTTGTCATTTCAAGTGTGTGTATAAGTGGTATTAATGAAACAATATAAGGTGCAAACAACCAATACCATCCTTGTTCATTAAAAATAATGAAACATTTGTTCTTTGTCCAACGAAAAATAAATTCAAAGAGAATTAAACATAAATAAATTGGACAAATAAATATAGACCATAGAAGTATAAGATAAAGTGATCGAAAACCAATAGAAATAGAAATACTCATAAATAAGACAAAAATAAGAAGCAAAGTCCAATGACGTTCAAAATTAAAACATAAACGATTTATATGATTAATTGTACTAATTTCCATTGGATTTTTTTTCGGATATTTTGATAAAAAAAGTCGACGTAAATATGTCCATAAAATTTCACAAAGAATAATACCAATTAAACAAGATAATCCATAAAGAAAAAAAGCTATTGTTGAATTACCAAACCATGATAATGGTCGAATTTTTGACACAATAAATGCAATAAATATAGCAAATAATATTCCAAATAGAATTGATAATAGATAACATATAAAAAATATAATTATTGAAAGAATTCGAATAAGTAATGGATATTTAAAATAAAAATAAACTGAAGAAAAATCATCTATAGATGAATTTGCTCTATACCATAATTGATCAATAAGAATCACTATAATTCCTATTAGAATAATAAATCCAATAAGAATTGATTGTATTATTACTGATGTTGATTTTTTGTATGTAATTAAATGTCGACCAAGTATATCAAAATAAATTAAATGATCATCATCAATAATACTTTCTGGTTGTTGAAGATTAACATGACCAAGAAGAATATGACGAGATAATACAAGTGTATTTTCACCTAAATGTTGTAAGGCACCATGTTCCACAATTGATGGTTTGTCAAGTAATGTATGATAATTATAACCATCAAGATAAAAAGCAAAATCATATCCTAACAATGATCCTTTTTCTGTAAAGATACCATAATCAGTATCTAATCCAATTGATTCAATAAGTTCCTCACCCATTACATTAGCATGAGGTCTCGGTACTCGACCATAATCTTTAACAAGCTTAAGAAAAACAACAGACAATGAATGTAGTTAAAAAGAAGAAATGCTAAAATATACTTGTGATGGTTTAACTCGAAATAAAATTGCTTTTTCATTTCCACCGGTTGAATCGATATTAATAAATCGACGTATATCATTTTTCCATTCATGATTGGCAATAAATGCTTCGGCACCAGCAAAACTCATTTCTTCGGCAGTTGTGAATAGAACGATCAAATGAACCTGAGTAAATGTTATTGTTGGATCATTGACTAGATTTGAAAGAAGTTCAAGTAAAATAACAACACCTGAACCATCATCACTACCACCAGGACTAAATTCAACTATGAACACAGAAAAAAAAAATAAATATATTTTATTGCATATTCTCGATCCGTTACCAGAATCATAATGTGCAGTTAACATTAAAGAAGGCGTTGTGGGTGATGAATTTGGATCCGATAGACGAACAGCAATATTTTGTAATTGGTCAATATCATCAACAGTAAAATTTTGTAAACTTATCTCGAATTGAACAGACTTTTTAGCGACCGAACGAATTCGATAGATTTGTGATATAAGAAAATCACGTGTAAGATAATCAGCATGTGTGTTTACAACTCTTGGACCATATTGAGTTAAATTAGGATAGTAATCACGAGCACGTTCTTCACTAAATTCATGTAAAGGTATTGTACGTGGCTTGACAACTGGTAGAGCATAAGAAGAATGAAGAGCAAGTGGACCGGCCAAAAGAAAAAGACAACCGATAAGAATAACCCATAGTAGAAGATTTTTGTAGAAATCGTTTGGATTAGTTGGTTTAATTAGTCTAAAAGAAAGAGTTAATTTAAGTTCAAAGTTATAGTGAATTTAAATCCTATGATAAATATAAGAAAAAGTTTACCTTTTGAAAAGTTTTCTCAATATTTTAAAGATATGTTGATCATCGTGTCACCTTTTTCAAAAGATTTTTTTAAAGACATTTTTTTTCTACTAAAATACTTATTTCTATTTACGTCAATAGTTGAAATAAAATTTTGTCAAACAAAATAAAAGAATGGCCTAAGAGTCACAACTTTCAAACAAATAATTTTTTTCCTTTTTGCTTTGTCTTTTCTTCAGCTCATGATATACATCAAATTATTTGATTTACCGACTTTTAATGAATCCAAAATATGGACGAATGAGATTTCAATAAAGTTTAAGAATAAATGATGAGCATTAGTTTTTCCATTATGTCTATGTTAAGTTGCTTTATTCATTATTCATCTATAGACATTATCGGTCTGTTAATAACTTGATTTTTAACTCTATACTCTACGGTTTATGAAATGAACTCGTAGGTTTTATAAATTGATCGATATATACGTAAAATAAAGAACCGAAGTGAATTCTTTGAATATTATTGAATCAAGTTCTCCGCTGTTTTGAGTTTTTTCTCATCCTAATGATCAAAATTCTTAAGAATATTACTGAGTCTATTGTTGGAATATAATTTTTTAGGGAAATGTCGTCATTTTCTTGTCTGTTGATGGGATTTTCAAACAATTCTTAATATACGAGTCAAATATTTGATACAAATAAATGAGAAAGAAAGTTGTTCTTGAAACTTGTGATTTCAAGGCCAATCATGTTTTTTTTTATTTGACAGAAGAAAAATTCTATTCAATATTTAACTAAATAGAAAGAAGTATTTTTGTAAAGAATTGAAAGAAAAAATGTGTAAAAGAAAGTTATTGATATAGGTAAAAAGATGGTCGAAATATTTTAGAATGACTAAAAGGATCATTCTTTATTGTCCATCTGTTATTATTCATTATTTTTTTTTTTTGTTGAACAATATTACATAATGATTGTTAATTAAGAACTTAATATATGATCAAAATTTTACAACTAATTGAAAGACAAATATATTTTCTTTATCTTATCTGTTGTTTATTTGTTTGAATATTTTCTTTTTCATAAAACAACAAAGGAAAGATACGATTATTTATTTCTTCGATTTCAAGTATCCACTCATAGATATATTTATAAAATATACCTTTTTATTATATGTTGATGTTGTTCATCTGGCGTATGATCATCAGAACTGTTTTGTAATCTAAGAAATATTTGGTTTTCATTTCGACGTTGTTTTCCATCTTCTGTTGAAAGTAACACAATTTCTTCGATTTGATTCTGCATTGACTGAATTTATAAATTAAAAAAAAATTTCTTGTCTAAATACAACGAATATAAATCCCAAGTATAAATAATTACATATTTGTGACGATGATAATTGTATGTATTATAAAAATGCAAAACTAGTAGAAGAAATAGACAAAAGCAAGCATGCGATAAAAATCACCCCTTCATTGATTTACATAGTTACTACGAGTCTTTTTTGTCGTTCTGTCACATATGTATATGACTAACAAAGAAGAAAAATGACACGTAGTTCGACCGTGCAATGATATTGTGTTATAGACGATATCAGCGCTATTATTTGACATATAATTCGAACTTTAACACAGCAGGTCACCTACGAGCGACAAATGACATAATGATTTTATATGAAATTTACAGAAAATTAATATTTTCAAAACTTTTTTCTTGAAGTTCAGTAATTAAAGATTTTTTTACTCTCTAAGGGTGAAACGTTTGATTGTAGTAAAATAGGTATATTGTGTCTTTTTTTTTGTTGTTTTCTGCTGTCATAAAATAAAATAAATACAATTGTTTTGATTTCAATAAAACAAGTCTATCTTTTTCTCGTATAAGAAATAAGTTCAACATCAAAGGGTTTTTTCAACTAATGAATCACTTTTCAGATCAAAAGGATATTTCTACCTTTTTATTTATTCACTTGAATAATTTGATATAAAACGTCTTTCGTTTAAATAACAAATTTATGCCCAAAATCTGAAAAATGATATTCAAGCATAACATAGATTATAGTATTAACATTTGAAGAGAAAGCATAATCTTCTGATTTGAATAAAATGAAGATTTCGAAATCTTTTGAAGCGATTAAGCATACCAGAAAAACTTTAAAATATTTTATTTAAAGACAATCTATGTCAATGCTAGAATTAATTCTGATCTCAATTTATAACGTTTAAAGAATTTTGTCATGAAATCTAATCTATAAATATTGTTGGTAATTTCCCTGTAATCCCATTTCTAGATAAATATATATGTATATGTTGTATGGAAATTACGATGATTGTCGAATTTGGTTTTGTTCAGTAAAATGAACTAGAATTGTATATTTTGATAGTATCATTAAAATGATACTCTATAAGTAAACATTCACCTGACCAACATACAGACATTTTCTTACGAAAACAATCAATGATACACAAGATATTAGTTGTATGAATCAAATTATGAAAAGCAGAATAAGACGGCAGGATTTAATGATCCGTCTCTTCTCCTTTTCCACCATATACAAGCTTCATATTCGTGCTTCCATCATTCGATAATTTTTGTGGAATTTCTACTTGAAACCAATCTTAAAAATTAGTCGAGGAATGACATTATAAAATTTCTATACTTCAAAATATTAATTTTCTGTAAACATTTTCTTACAGTTTTGCAATTAATATTTTGTGTATTATTGATTTTTTTTAATAGAAAAATGTATGTTGTTCAGATAAATATATACCTGCAGTGTGATGTTGCCTATACCATCTAAATATACCATTCTTGGTTCTTTAATTTCATCAAAACAATTTCGATAACCTACCTTAGACAAGTTATAACTTCTATAACGTTTTTATTGAAATTTTAACATCGATACGACAAATATATATATATATGTCACAGTTGACATGAAAATTCAGTGGAATGGAAATTTGCAAAATAATTAAAAACTTCTGTTAGAAAAATAAGATATAATAATAGATTAAAGCTTCATAGACAATGTGAAATAATTCCGTTGGAGAAAAGTTTAGAAAACCGACTCACGTTGAACACAACAATAAAAACTGTTTTTTTTTATTTTTTCTATTTTACTGATAAAAAACAACCATTTTTATTATGTGTGTGTCAATCTTTTGAATACTCTATTGCGTTGATTGCATGACTCATTCAGTAATTGATGCTTATTATTGTATTCAAGTTTTGTTATCATTAGGATATAAGATAATTACTTGATTTAGAATTATTTATTGCATCATTTTGAAAATCTTGATGTATTTCAGTTTTTGAATTTAAGTGATAAATGCTATTCACTAAACACGAAATTTTCCTATAAGAACGATTATGTGTCCTATTCATCATGTGCACTATTTAGAGAAAAAAAATTAACTTTCAATTTCATTAGTAATTATAATCATTTATTATGTTCTCATATCATAATGATACGACATACACGTGATATAAGCTACCATGACTTTTGAAAATCTCTGTCGCTCCGCTCCTATTCACCATATGTTCGATTCAATTGTCTGGAAAAATATAAAATATCAATATGAAACTGTAGTTTTTAATATATAATTATTGATCTAAGAGCCATAAGTGGAAATTTTTTTCATTAATAGTTTGAAAAATTCTGTTCACTAATTGTTGAGAACTCGCGAACCTTTTGATATCTTTATGTTCTCATTATCAAAAAAGTACTTACTCACGATATAAGTAATCTGTCTATTTTTATATCTTAAAAATATTAGTTACTAGAAAATTGCAAAAATGCTATTTCGATCTCAACAAATCTCCAAACTCGCCTACCATATATACTTAACTGCTACATTTTTCTACTTCCTTTAAATTTAGTTTTAATGTTTCTTTTTCAAGAACTACTTGTAGTATATAATATTGCTATTATTGATGATAAACGAAAGAGATTCTATTTGCTTTAATTTTCATTAAATTAACCCTTTAAGTACTATGACTTTGCCTGTGAGAGAAATTTCTATAAGTTGTCATACTTAAGACACTCCTGGTGCAGTATTTATATTTTCATCAAAATTTTCAAAAAATTTTTAAAGTCAGTTTTAGGTCATCCCTGTACTCTGCCACGGGGATGGCGAAGAACTATTTTGGCCATTTCTGTGAGGAAATACCGATCTGGCTCAAAATTCAATTGAAAGCTGTCGTAAATAAACGTTTGGAATACTACTATGAGTCACTTCGAACTTGATTTCAACATAGAAAACCAAAATATTTTGGAAACTACAAAAGAGCATTACCTGCCCTCCTCCTTTTTAGAATACAGTTGTTGTTCCAAAAATTCAGCAGAGTTAATACTTAAGTGAGCTCATTAGGGTTATAATTCTTATACAGATGTATGCATCGAAGTCGATGTTATATCATAGAGAAAATTGCATCTTGATATGCTTTTGTGTTTCCGAGTTATTCAAAAATTAAGATACTTAAAAAAGTACTCTTTATTTAGGATGCTGGTACTTAAAGGGTTAAGACAGAGTAAACCAATTCAAAAACAGCTTCATTCAAAAGAAAAATATGGTTTGATACATGCACAGTGAGCTACAACACTATGTGCCACAGAATTATACTAAATGAAACTGTTCTCGAATACTCTATGACATCACAGACTATAATTGAATCAAATGAAAATATTGATACATTTTTGCAAAATAAATTGAATTCCTTGATTCTGATGACGTTCTTAGTAGGAAAACAAGCTTCAAAGGTTAATGAATCATATTATGAAATGGAAGACGGCTAAAAATTTGTACAAGGAGATATTTGTCAACTGCTTAGGTTTTGAAAAATTTTGATGAGTAGCATTCAGTAAATTCTTTATATGTTTTGAAGGGAAATAGATACCGATTTTGGGTTTGATCTGATTCATAAGGGCGAACCTAGACTATCTGCTCATTATATTATAATTTAGACAGTATATTGTTTTCAAAGCGAATTAAAGTCATCGTTAAAACTGATTTGTATCTCCGAAAACAAGTAACTGGATTTTTTCGTGGACTTAATAAAAAGATGCAGTAATGTCGACTCTAGATAGTGTTGAAAACCTGAGTCATTTCTCTCTTTTTGTTTTAAAGTTATTCAAAAAATGTTCACGTGCATTTAACTCTGAAACAGACAGTAGTTTCATTACAATAGATTGATATTTTGTTTCTAGATAACAACGAATAGCTTTTGTCATATTTTTGTTTTAGCTTTTATTTTACCTATTACTGATTCCTGCTCACATTCACAAGATCATCCAGGTTTTTCTCATACAATTATAGGTCAGAGATCCACAAGTCAAATATTAGGTATTTTTTCATATTTTGGAGGATATCACTGTGGAAGAAATAAAAAACAGTTTTTCCAGATTTCCGATCAACCATTTTTTAGACTGAAATTACTACTCCATACGCTGAAGTAATCATTCAAGTTCTTCTCATAACTTTAGGTATCATAAATATAGAAGATTTGCTATATAGTACTTCTTGCATATTTTGAATGATATGTCTAAGGTGAAAAGTAGAAGAAAGTTTTTATTCAGCCTCAAATTCTGCGAAAAGAGAGATTCATCGAGCTTCTATATCATATCGATGCAACTTATATATTGTAGAGTAATGAAGTATGTTATACGTTCGATCATACTATTCTTGACTTTAAATGAAAATTATTCATAATGTTTTGTTCAAAATTTAATACTCTATTAAATGTGTAAAATAACTATCGAATTCTGTATAGATGATTTCAAAAGTTACTGCTTCTAATCTTACAGGCTAGCTTTGACTTCTGGAATAGCTGAAAGTTTCATGTCAAAAAGTATTTGTTCTGTAATAAAGCCAGATGACCTGTAATCATCTTCTATGACATATATTATATAGAAAAAACTTATTTTGTAACGATGTTTGTCAGGTTAAACTTGAAAATCTCAAACTTTTGAGATCATATTCAAGTAGCAGCAAGTGAGTCATTTTAATGGAAAGAGCTTGACTGAATTATGTCGTAAGTATAGACTACTTTTAAGTCGAACACATAATGAGAGAAGAATTGAAATGAAATCTTTATTAAGACATGGTCAACCTATGGATCTTATTCGATAAATAGTTGAATGGTCTATCTGAGAATACATATCTGACAAAATTTTCAAAGCTCTAATTCACATTCATAAGAAGAAATCATAGAAAGGGCAATAATAAATGATTGAAAAAAAATTCAAATTAAGAAAAAGCAAATTTGTGCATTTTCAATCAGATCGTCACATTTCAGTTACAAATCATTTA